TCCATCCACTCACATACTCACCCAGCCACTCACCTACTCACCCAGTCACATACACATCCACTCACCATGCCACCCACTCAATTTCTAACCCACTCACTCGCCCAACCACTCCCTCAGCAACTCACCCACTAACCACGTAATTATTCACCCACCCACCCATCACTCAACCACCCAATAATTCAACCACCAAAACATTCAACCACCCACTAACTCAACCACCCACTACCACCCACTAACTCAACCACCGAGCAACTCACACTCACCCACTCACCCACCCACGCACCCATCCGCCCACTCACCAACACACTAAACTAAATCTAAATTGTGGTTATTTTACCAGGTAAGGCCGACAGAGCTAAACATCTTTTCAGAAATTACCTGGTTAAAAATTATAGGTCAACGAAGTGGCTTATGACATGTATTGCAGCCAAATCCTATAAATGCTTGTTGATTTTAAATGTGGAGGGAAATATACAGGTGTCAGGGTCGGGATCAAACCCACAACCTTCTGCATACCAGGCGAAGTAGTTAACATCTCGCCACCGTGGCGCCCCACTGTCTGACTCTCCCACCCACTAACCCACACACTCACCCACTCACTCAATCACCCACTCACTCACTCAACTACTGAGCCATTCATACACTGACCTACTCACTAAGCCACCCACTCAATCACGAACCCACACTCATGCACCCAGCCACTCACTCACTCAGCGACTCACCTACGACGCATCAACCCATCCACTCACTCATCCACCCACGCACCCACTCACGCACGCACCCACTCATCCACACAATAAACGAATATTTAATTGGTTTTCATTTTACTGGGTAAGGCCCTGAGCTATAGATCTTTGTCGGAAGCCACCTCAGCACAAATGACAGTTCAATTAAGTGGCTTTTCACGTAGAATGTTATTGCAACCAAATGATATAAATGCATGTTCAAATGTGGAGGGACAACCTGGAGAAAATTCCACGCGACCACGGGGAAAACAAAGAAACTCCAAATATACAAGCGGAAGGGCTGGGATAAAATCCACAACCTCCTGTATACTAGGCGAGGTAGTTAACATCTCTGCACCATGGTGCCTCACTCTCCGACTCACCCACCCACTAACACACGAACTCACCTCCCATATTCACACACCCATCTACCCAAAAACTCAACCACCCACACATTCACGCAACAATCCACTCACCCACTCACTCACTTATTCACTCACCCACTAAACCATGCACCTGTCCACTCACCTATTCATCCACCCACTCACACACCCATTAAGCAACCCACCCACTTACCCTGCCACCCACTCAATCTCTAACCCACTCACTCACCCAGCCACGCAATCTCGAACCCACCAATTCACTAATCCTCTCACCAACTCACCAACCCACCTCTCACCCACTCCACACCCACTCACGCGCTGACCCACCCACTCACTCACCTCAACCATTCACAAACCCACCCACCCACTCATTCACCCAACCACCCACCACCCACTCAATCTCTAAACCCATTCACCCACCCACCCACTCAGCCACCCACTAACTCACCCAATCAATCTCTAACCCACTCACCTACACACTCACCCAGCCACTCACCCAACCACTCGTCTATTCACTCCCAAACAACACACCCACTCACGTCACCCATGGCTTACCCTATCACCCACAATCTCTAACACACTCACTCACCTACTTCCTCGATCACTGACCCACACTCACAGAAAAAAAAAGTCCTCTACATTGAGCAGCACTGCTTCCCCAAGTCTCAACACTGCACCACACTCAGCACTGCCCATAGACTCATCACTGCACCATAGACTCAACACTGCACCATAGACTCAACACTGCACCATAGACTCAGCACTGCACCATAGACTCAACACTGCCCATAGACTCAACACTGCACCATAGACTCAACACTGCACCATAGACTCAACACTACCCGTAGACTCAACACTGCCCATAGACTCAACACTGCCCATAGACTCAACACTGCCCATAGACTCAACACTGCACCATAGACTCAACACTGCACCATAGACTCAACACTACCCGTAGACTCAACACTGCACATAGACTCAACACTGCACCATAGACTCAACACTGCACCATAGACTCAACACTACCCGTAGACTCAACACTGCCCATAGACTCAACACTGCGCCACAGACTCAACACTGCCCATAGACTCAACACTGCACCATAGACTCAACACTGCACCATAGACTCAACACTACCCGTAGACTCAACACTGCACATAGACTCAACACTGCACCATAGACTCAACACTGCACCATAGACTCAACACTACCCGTAGACTCAACACTGCCCATAGACTCAACACTGCACCACAGACTCAACACTGCCCATAGACTCAACACTGCACCACAGACTCAACACTGCCCATAGACTCAACACTGCACCACAGACTCAGCACTGCCCATAGACTCAACACTGCACCATAGACTCAACACTGCACCATAGACTCAACACTGCACCATAGACTCAACACTGCACCATAATTGGTGGGAGCCGTCCCTGGCGACGCGAGTCACGATGTGCGTGTGCCGGCTGCTCGGGGTCGTGTCCACGCGGGGCATCAAGACCCGTCACGGGCGCTGCGATGGATCAGCGCTGAGCGGGCGCGGCCTGCCGGCAAGTTTCCCTGCGGCAGTGCGGCCGTGAGCGCCGCGCTGCGACCACGAACCCGGCCAGCCGAGTTGGATTCCCGTCCACGGCCAACACTGGTGACGATTATCCGAACCGGTCCTGGGCCTCCCCTAGGTCGACTCAGCCACACAATGAGTACCCCGTGCGGTGTGTCAATGTCGCCACTCGGTAGACGACTTTACGGACGGGTCACGGGAGCTGATTGTGTTCCTAAGTCGAGGTCATTGCAATTGGATGGGGGGCATGATCCAACACACGTTAAGACACCACTGTATTGACGAGTTATGCTGTTTGTGTATGATAGTGTTCATCAAGTGGTTATAAACGTGATGGGTGGACCAGTGGGCGTAGTGGTTAGCACACTGTTGTCTGAACCTGGCCACGTGAGTTGGATTCCTGGCCACGACTAACATGACCAGCGTGGTGAAGTATGATCACACAACCTTTAATGACTGATATGGAATGCGGTGGTCTTCATCCGGCAGTCCCGCGGGACGACACTTTAAACTTTTCTAATTTATTACAAAACATGTATTTGATGAAGTTATGTTTATTAATTTAAATGGCCAGTAATAAGACGCACACGTCACCACCAAATGTGATTCATCATCCAATTTAGCTCGTAGCTGCTCACCAAAGACACATTCTACAGTTGACAATGTTTATTAAAACAGTCTGCAGTGTTTAAAGAGAATAGCGGTCTACTTGTTTTTTTCTTCATTCACCACTTTAATTTAAAACGGGGACACGCAGTGTGGTGTCAGGGAGTGAGCTCACTTCCCAGGTCACTCGAGCGAACGAGGGGCCGTCCATAAATGACGTCACGAGATTTTGGACGATTTTTGACCCCCCCCCCCTCGTCACACGGCGTCACGAGAAGTCAGACCCCCCACCTCAAATATGACGTCACAAAGCTTTGCCCCCCCCCAAAATAAAACATGCTTCAAATCGCTTTAAACTATTGTCATTGTAGTGCGTATTTAATGTGGCGCTGCACTCTGATGTTGTAGGAGAAAACATTTATTAAAAAGTATATTTTATTAAGTAGAACGTGTTGTCTATATTTATTTAAAGTTGCGCATTTTGATGTGACGTCACATTTCTCAACCCCCCCCCCCAATCGTCACACATCGTCACAATGTCTGACCCCCCCCCCCAGGTGCGTGACGTCATTTATGGGCGGCCCCCGAGTCTCCTGTCTCTGAGGGTTCCCAGCGGCTTCAACAAAAAACCTTCAACCTCGACAGACAACGCGAGACCACCACCACCTCTGCCATTGCCTCATGTCAGCACTGTACTGGCCTGCGTGCTGAACTTCTTCCGCACCGTACGTAGCTAGTCCGAGGTGCTAATTTAGGATCCCTCTCCAACTTCCACCTCTTCGCTGCCCCCCCCCCCCCTAGGGCAGACGTTGACAGCGGGCACGGGCTACGGAGCATGGATCCCGTGCAGGAGAAATGTCGAATGTGCGTGGGGAGCGTCAGCGCAGCACGCGGACACGGCGAGTCCAAGGTGCACGCACACCACAGGCGGCGCACGCGAGACCCCAGCAAGTCTGGACTTGCGCGAGAAAAATAATAAAATTATCATCTAAATCACTCAACACGAATTGGTTAACGCTTGTCACTTATAATCCAGAGTGACGCCTCACGTGTCGCTTGTTGTTGTGTTTGTTACCCGGGCATGGCAGCTGCGCGTATTGTGCGTCGTGTTGTGTGTGTTAGTCTGTAAGTTCGTTGTGAATGTTGTGGATTTGCTCTCCAGCACACAACCGATTAGTGCTGTGCTCGTCACGAATTGGCCACGTTCTGTTTACGTGACAAACCCCTTCCTAGTTGGCTGTGTCGGGTGGTGGCGGGTTTAACGACACATTTATATTTACGCGATTTAACCCAAAACACGTCTAGTATGTAACTGTGTCTGTATGTTGTATGTATCTGTGTATGTATCTATGTACCCGTGTATGTATGGTGTATGTATATTGTATGTATGTAACTGTGTGTGTAACTATGTATGTTGTATGTATGTATCTGTGTATGTATCTGTGTGCGTAAGTTGAACTTCTTCCGCACCGTACGTGGCCACGCGTGGTGATCGCGGGCGAGGCCGAGCGACGCGAGAGGGGTGAGGGGGGGGCAGCTGCGGGTCGCCCCCCCCGCGCCCTGGGGGCTCCGTCACCGCCGCCATGGGGGCTCCGCGCGGGGGCGCCAGGAGGAGGAGGCGCCGCGTGATGCACAAGTCGCCGCGTGGCCCCGCGGTGAGCGCCGGGAAGGGCCGTCACCTGACAGTGGCGCCTACGCACGAACCTCCAGCTCACCAGGGGCCATGTCACCGCCGTCTCTCGCCTCCACCGCCTCCACCGCCGCCGCCGATATTAACGCGGCAGTGACGAGTCAGACCGCGGCAGTCATCGCAAGGGACGATTCGGACATCCCCCACGCGAGCTCGGCACGAGATCCGTCTTCGTCGTGGTCATCCTGCACGTGGTGCCGAGGGGCTGCTGCTGCTGCTGCTGGGAGCGCGTCGCGTGCAGGTGCCCGCGTGAGCTCGCCCGGGGGGAGTTGTCGGCACGACGACCCGAGCCGCAGCCCGAGCCGAGCGGTGACAATGGGTCTCCTTGCGTCGCGAGTGGCGTCGCTGCTGGACGGAATGTTCACTCAGCAAGCGCGCGTGCTGCTGCTGGGTTTGGACGCGGCCGGGAAAACCAGCATCCTGTACAAGCTCAAGCTCGACGAATCCGTGGTGACCATCCCGACCATCGGCTTCAACGTGGAGACCGTGCAGCCCATCAGGAACGTCACCTTCACCGTGTGGGACGTGGGCGGCCAGCAGAAGATCCGCGCTCTCTGGAGGCACTACTTCCAGAACACGGACGGGCTTCTCTTCGTGCTGGACAGCGCGGACCGGGAGCGCTTCCCGGAGGCTCTCAAGGAGCTGGACGCCATCCTGGACAGCCCCGAGATGACGCGGGTGCCCTTCGTGCTCCTCGCCAACAAGCAGGACCTCCCGCGGGCAGCGGCCACCGCGGAGGTGGCGGAGGCGATGAAGGCGGTGAAGACGCGGCACGGGCGCGAGTGGCTGGTGCAGGGCTGCTGCGCCCGCACCGGAGAGGGCCTCCTGGAGGGCGTGGGGCAGCTCTCCCGCTTCATCAGCAACTCCAGAGCCTCCTCGGGGACAAAGTGAGCTCGGCTCGGCAGCAGCAGCAGCAGCGGCGGCGGTGTCACTCCAAGGCGGCGTCTCTCGTGCACGTGGGGGGGGGGGGGGGGCTTCGAGTTGTGTCCACTGGTCGAAACTTCACTCGAGCGAACGCCGTCATTCAAACCAACAGCTCGCTGTGTGTGCCTCTGCATGTGTGGATGTCTCTTGGTGTGCTGTTGCTCTGGTTGTCCCTCTGGGCTGCCCAGAAATATCTTTCCATGTGTGTCTTCTCTGTGTATGTACCTCGTGTCTGTTCACGAGTCCCTGTCCTCTGTTTTTACGTTGGCATGTTCAGCCCAGATGATGAACACGAGAGATGTATCAGTCTTTTGAAATACGTGGTCAACCAGGTGAGTGTCTAACTGTGTTGTTGGCCGACTGGTTTGCATCACGTGATTGTTTCTAAGGTCTGTTGAGTTTCTCGTCTCCCATCTTCTTGTTGCATTTGCTTACGTGTAGTTCGCCGTTCTCTATGTGCTATGTACGTGATGTCCCCCTGTGTGTTCCCTCTTTCTATGTTTCACCCCATTTTCACCTGATGATGAGCGCTTGTGTTGCGTTCGAAACGTCGTGATTGATTTAAATTTAATTTATTTAAATTTTATTTTATTTCTACATACGTGTCTTTACCGGAAAAAAACAATGAGTAAAACAGCTTGTTGTGAAAGACCCAATGCAGAAGATCGCTGGGTTTGGTCTTCCACGAAGCTGCTCACGGTCCACCCTAAACCGCAACCACTGCACAAAACACGGCAGTAGATGCGGATACCCTGATGCACAAACGTTAAATTAGAAACTCTCCAGGAGCCTGCGACTGTGGCCATCCAGAACAGACCGTGCAACGTGTAACGGCGCAATGCCCGGTCCACAAACACGACGGAGACGTCACAGCGAGACACTCACTACCACTGCTTCTAACGCGGTGATCTTGGCTTGCCCACCTGGATGTGACTTCATAGTCGTCTGCTGTGCACCTGCATCAGCAGCCACACGAACGAAGCAGCAGCAGAAGAGAACGCGGTCGCGTCCACGTGCACGCGCCACGCGACTGCGCGTGCCTCTCGCTGCGAGTGAACCTCCGCATCGTCGTCAACTGCGGACTGCAGGTTCACATTCGACGTCGGCTGTCGCTCTGTGATTCCACACTGGGGGGCAAACGCCTCCCCCGAGTTGATTCCGTTGCGCGCTTTCCTTGCAGCCGTCGCGTCGCGGCCTCCGGATGCTTTGGGTTCATCTCGCCATCTCTATGGGTCAACTTTGACCGCTCGTGGTTTAGATATATATATGTGAATGGCATCTGTAAATTAAAAGCGGCACAATCTCTGCAAGTTCTTTTTCATTGAAGGCACTTTAATGGCTCGTCTCATTTTCAGAAATACTTTTATAGACCAATAACATTTCCGAACATCTGGAGATAATTGTAGGATATATTTTTCCCGTCTGTCATACAATGAGATTGTTTGACCCTAATGGTTAAATTCATCAACTTACTCAATTTCCGTGCCCTTTGCGTTCACATGTTCTCTTAAACTGTCGTCAATTTACTTGTTTCTGGCTTTGCACTGCTCCATAAAATCTGTAATAAATTTTGAAACCTATTTTCGTGATAAATAATAAACTAGACAATGTAATCAGCGCAATGTAAATGTTTTAAATGTTTATGGTTCATATTCTCTCTGATTTCGTTACCCCGATGGTGATACGGGCGTTACCTTCACTGTTCGTGTCCTTCAGAGTGACAGATTGTTTACACTCCTCGTTGTCTTACACTCGCTAACTACGGATGGTGTACAGGACATGTAATGGAATGCCTTGTGGTATAAATCTATGACAGCTTGATCAATGTATTTGCCGTACGCATTGTACTTGTCTGTTATTTGATTGAAGGTGGCCTGATGTTGATAATGATTTCATGAATTCTGTTTTCTTCGTCGGTTTGTTGTTGTCTAATGTATCACATTTTTAGTGGATAATGTTGATGAATATTTTGTAGATGCACGAACCGAGGCTGATAGTCGTATGATTATTAAGATCCAATCGTCACGTTTGTGCAATAAATAGTTTGGGATCAGACAGTGTCGTTACCGTTAAATGTTCTCGGATTGTGCGACCTGATTTACATCTTGCTTCAAGCAGTTCTTCTTGACTCGAGTTTAAGATTGTTGCCCAAGTTTTCATCTTCGGACGATCGCACGATTTAACGTGCCTATTAACGATGTAAAAGTATCCCTAGACGCAGCTGATGATACAACTACTGGCTCCACAGAAGCAAATGAAACGTGTTACTGCATTTTAGAGCCTTAACATTCACCACTTATCATCAGCGCCTCCAGCCTGCCACTGTCGAAGATATGGGGATGAGGCACCAGTAGCCGTCCTGCAAACCTCAAGGGTCAGAATCAGAACCTTTATTCATACCGGAGGAATCCGATGAGCTATAAAGCTCTTTTTCACAGGTGTACAGTAGGGACACGGGGTCAGAACGTTACAACAAACAATACAAAAACACGAAAGGAGTGGAAAAGATAGGAAAGAGGAAAAAAATATATTTAAACATAAATATACAAATAAAACTAAACGTGTGTTTTTATTTTCCAGATAAGGCCCACTGAACTATATATATTCTTTTTAAGAAGCGACCCGGCCACAAATTTTAGCTCAACGAAGCGGCTTATCACGTGGAAATTTATAATAGCAAAGTAATATAAATAATCTAAACGCTTGAAAGTTGATTCTAAATGTGGAGTGAATCCCGGAGGACAATCCACAAGACCACGGGGAGAGAGAGAGACATTCACACTCCAACTATACAACAAACGTCAGGGTGAGGATCGAACCCAAGCCCTCCTGTATACCAGGCGAGGTAGTTAACATCTCGCCACCGTGGCGCTGTCCACACACGGCAGGCCGAGTCCAGTGACTCTGCAAGAAAGAGACGTCACCATCTGCGGGTCACCCAATGTGTGTTGCCGGAGCAAGGTCTCCTCGCTCTCGGGAGTCCAATGGGGTCTGTCACCTATCCTGAAGCCTCACATATCAGAACGACCGCGAACTGTTCTACATTGTGCAGTGTTTGTGGGATCTGAAGAAGGTGGTTGCGATGGTGACGGTGAAACCACTCCGGTTCTCGTCGTCTTGCTGGTAGGGTTCAACATCAGGGGAATCCGCCATCTCATTTCAGTTTCTGCCGCAACAGCCCCGGCTCGTTCTGTGATCTTTACCCGTCAGAATGACTGCGATTCCCTTCGTTTTGGTCTCCCTGCCTCTGCCCTCACTCCCCTGCAACAAATTCAAAAGGCTTCAGTTGATTATCTTTAATTCTCACACTTCCCCTCTCCACTGGCTTCCCGTTCACTCCACCGCTGTATTTTCAAATACCTCACGCTCGACTTGAAATCTCTTCATGGCCTTGTCCCACCTCATCTCGCCTCTCTCATCTTCCATAAACCTCCTCGCATCCTCTTCGTTCCCTTTCTTCTCTCTATCTCTATCCCTCCTCCCTGGCCCAATTCCGTTTTCAATTCTTCTCCCTCATTGCACATCTCCACTGGAAAAGAAGTCCTCTACATTGAGCAGCCCTGCTACCCCAAGTCTCAACACTGCCTATAGACTCAACATTGCCCACAGACTCAACACTGCCCACAGACTCAACACTGCCCATAGACTCAACATTGCCCACAGACTCAACATTGCCTATTGACTCAACACTGCCCATAGACTTATCACTGCCCGTAGAATCAACATTGCACCATAGACTCAACACTGCCCATAGACTTTCGCGACCAATGTTATTAATAATCAACGTTTTTGGGTTTAGATCGCGTTTATTTATAAATGTGTCGTAACCCTCCACCACCCGACACGGCCAATCAGTAAAAATGTGTCACGTTGACAAAGACAAATAGTTCACTGCTTTAGCCCACCGGTGTGTTGAAGCCACAACATTTACAATTTGAGTACGACGTTTCGCTGGTAATTGCAACCAGCATCATCGGGCAATTCGCCAGAATGGTTCTGGCGAACATTGCCCACAGACTCAACACTGCCCACAGACTCAACACTGCCCATAGACTCAACACTGCCCATAGACTGATCACTGCCCGTAGACTCAACATTGCACCATAGACTCAACACTGCCCATAGACTCAACATTGCCCACAGACTCAACACTGCCTATAGACTCAACACTGCCCATAGACTGATCACTGCCCGTAGCCTCAGCATTGCACCATAGACTCAACACTGCCCATAGACTCAACACTGCCCATAGATTTCGATTTAAAGCTTTCGTGACTGCAGGTATTCATCTTCTTGGTTCTTTCGGTAAAGTCACGTAGAAGGGAAGTAATAAAATAATAAAGATAAAACATAATAAAATAAAATAATTCTCACGACGTTTCGGCTACAACGCAAGCAGCCGTCTTCAGGTGAAGAATGAGACACTACCAAGCTAGGAGCTTATATATAAGCTGCGTTGGAGGTGGAAGAGCGCCTTAACAAAAAGAATGTGCATATGAAGAGGAATTTAGCATATTCATGTAAAATGCGTAGGAGGTGGGCGGGGGGTTTCAAAGTCATATTATGCCCATGCATTATGCAGGATCAGCAGCACCAAAGGGGGGTGCAGGGAGTAGCAGTAACAAAGGAAAGGAATGTTAATGATATGTAGCTGCAGTTACTCAACAACCACGTAGAAAACTAAAGTATAAACTACATAAAAAACTAAAGTATAAACTGCATAGCACCATCAGTATACTTACTATACTCTACAATAAGCTGAGTTACTAACAGCAAGTAATACATTACAATTCTACGTCGTATAAATTATATAATATGCTTCCATCTAAACTTTATTCTCTTACATCACACGAGCATATACCGTACTATATACTGCCATAGATAAACCCAACATTAAATTACATACTGTATTGCTGTAAACCAACCTATACCTTATACATTTTAATATAACACTATGTATTATTTACCCACCCTAATGTGTATCGAAATGGTTTAT